ACAATGGAGGACAGGGAGGAGAGGTGAGAGACGATGGAGGAGAGGTAAGAGACGATGGAGGACAGGGAGGAGAAGTGAGAGACAATAGAGGACAGGGAGAAGAGATTGAAATATTGGAGGAGAGGTGAGAGCTAATGAAGGGAAGGAAGGGGCGGTGAAAGACAATGGTGGATAGGGATGAAAGGAAGAAAAACATGGTGTGGCTAGGAGAGATGGTAAAAAAAGAAAACTGGGAAAAGGAAAGAAGATTCGATGATGAGAATGAGAAATGAAGATGAGACTTGGTGAAGTGAAGATGAAAACTTGAAGTGAGACTTGAAGTGGAGATGAGTCTTGGTGACGAAGACATGGTGAAGCGAGACTTATTGAAATGAAGATGGAGTCTTAATGAAGCCTTGGTAAAGTGAAGATGGAGTCTTGATGAAGCCTTGGTAAAGTGAAGATGGAGTCTTGATGAAGCCTTGGTGAAGTGAAGATGGAGTCTTGATGAAGCCTTGGTAAGTGAAGATGGAGTCTTATGAATTTATAATAAGGGAAGGTAAACCCAGGATAAGGCAGGGAAGATGGAAGCTTGCTTAATTGGTGAAGTGAAAGATCGGAGTCTAATAAGAAGCCTATGGAAATGAGATGGAGTCTTGATGAAGCCTTGGTAAAGTGAAGATGGAGTCTTGATGAAGCCTTGGTAAGTGAAGATAGAGTCTTGATGAAGCCTTGGTGAAGTGAAGATGAGTCTTGGTGGAAAGTGAAGATGGAGTCTTAATGAAGCTTGTGAAGTGAAGATGAAGTCTTGATGAAATGGTGAAGAAGATGGAGTGAAAGCTATAGGGAAGTGAAATGGAGTTGAGAAGCCGAGGAAGAAGAGAGTCTGATGAAGCTGGTAAGATGAAGATGGGTGCTTAGAAGCACTTGCTGAAGTGAAAATGAGTTGGGAGGAAGGAGAGTCTTGATGAAGTGAAATGAATCTTGGGAATAAGAAAGAAGGACAAAAGAAGAAGTGTGCAGATGAGAGAGAGGTAGCCGAAAAGAGAAAGAGGGTAGGAAACACGCACTAAGGGAAGGATATGCAAAAGATGGAAAGAATCAGAAAAAACAGGAGAGGGAAGAGGATAAGTGGAGGAGAGTAAGATAAGACTAATGGGTGCAGGAAGAACAGTGGAGGGAGACCCAGATGGGAAGAGGTTAAGTGGGCGGAACGCAATGAACGATGGGACTAGGTATGGAAAAGAGGGAAATGGTATTCTTAATGGAGGAGCAGCAGCAGCGACAAACTCGCCTAAATGGAATGGTGGTGATAAGTGGAAGAATCCCTCGCTGCAAGTTCATTATAATGGAGGGAGAGAGAGAACGAGGGAAAGGGAGGGAGGGAGAGGGGAGGGAAGGAGAGGGGAGGGAAGGAGAGGGGAGGGAAGGAGAGGGGAGGGAGGGAGAGGGGAGGGAGGAGAGGGGAGGGAAGGAGAGGGGAAGGAGGGAGAGGGGAGGGAGGGAGGGGCGGGATAGGGAGAGGGAGGGAGGGAGAGAGGGAGAGAGAAGAGAGGAGAGGGGAGTGAGAAGAGAGGAGAGGGTGGCCCAAAAAGAAAAACAAAAGTTTCTCTTTTCAAATTTAGTAATTTATACAGGAGAAGGGGTTACTAGCCCCTTGCTCCCGGCAACACGCATGGCTTATGGAGGAAGAATTATATTCCACTTCCACATGGAGATTAGAGGAAATAAACAAGAGCAAGAACTAGAAAGAAAATAGAAGAATACCCAGAGGGGTATGTATATATATGCTTGTACATGTATGTGTAGTTTGACCTAAGTGCAAGTAGAAGTAGCAAGACAAACCTGAAATCTTGCATGTTTATGAGCCAGACAAAAGACACCAGCAATCCTACCATCATGTAAAACAATTACAGGTTTTCGTTGTACACTCACTTGGCAGGATGGTAGTACCTCCCTGGGCGGTTGCTGTTTACCTACCTACTACCTAGGTTACATACATACATATACATACATATATATATAATATATATATATATATATATATATATATATATATATATATATATATATATATATATAATATATATATATATATATATATATTATATAATAATTATATATATATAGGTGGTAAGTTACTAAATGTTGTAAAGAGCTTTTATGAGGAGTAGTGAGGCTCAGGTTAGGGTGTGTAGAAGAGAGGGAGAATACTTCCCGGTAAAAGTAGGTCTTACTGGAGAGAGTTTCTGGAATTCGGGGTACGCCCCACCAGTCTTGACGGCTCCTGTTGTCAACTGATCAACCAGTGTGCTGCTGCTGCACACAAACAGTAGTACAGCCCAGCGGCTGATCCGGACTGACTTAGGTGCTTGTCGTGCACTTGAAGACTGCCAGGTTGTTGGTAATCCACTTAAGTACTGGGAGCAGTTGAACAGTCGGCCTGACACTTATTGTATGTCTTATACGTGCTATGGACACCTCTAAGAAAAGATGTGTAAATGTCCCATGTTGTTTATATTTAAGATGGTGTTGTAAAAGTAGTAAATGTAGGTGTCGGAAGGTGGATTAAATATGGGAATCAAATTCAAAATGGGAATTGACAAGTTATTTTTGCTGATGATACTGTGTTATGGAGATCTAAAGAAAAATTGAAGGTTAGTGGATATTGGATGTGTGTAAAGGTAGAAAGTTGAAAGTGAACATAGAAAAGAGTAAGTGATGAGGTATCAATGATTTAGATAAAGAAAATTGATATCAAATTGGGAGGAGTATGGAAGAAGTGAATGTTTTCAGATACTTGGGAGTTGACGTGTCGCGGATGGATTATGAAGATGAGTAATATAGAATTGATGAGGGAAAAAAGGTGAGTGGTGCGTTGAGGTATATGTGGAGACAAAAAACGTTATCTATGGAGGCAAAAAAGGGAATGTATGAAAGTATAGTAGTACCAACACTCTTATATGGATGTGAAGCTTGGGTGGTAAATGCAGCAGCAGGTGACGGTTGGAGGCAGTGGAGATGCCCTGTCTAAGGGCATGTGTGGTGTAAATATTTTGCAGAAAATTCGGAGTGTGGAAATTAGGAGAAGGGTGTGGAGTAAATAAAAGCATTAGTCAGAGGGCCCGAAGAGGGGTTGTTGAGGTGGTTTGGTCATTTAGAGAGAATGGATCAAAATAGAATGGGCATGGAAAGCATTTTAAATCTATAAGGGAAGGAAGGAGGGGTAGGGGTCGTCCTCGAAAGGGTTGGAAAGAGGGGGTAAAGGAGGTTTTGTGGGCGAGGGGCTTGGACTTCCAGCAAGCGTGCATGAGCGTGTTAGATAGGAGTGAATGGAGACGAATGATACTTGGGACCTGCGATCTGTTGGAGTGTGAGCAGGGGGAATATTGTGAAGGGATTCAGGGAAACCGGCTATTTTCATATAGTCGGACTTGAGTCCTGGATTATTATTATTATAATCAAGGGGGAAGCACTAAACCCGTAGGATTATACAGCGCCTATGGGGGGATGGAGGCATTCAGGCTTAATTCAGGGAACTGGAGCACAGATCCAACTGGAGCACAGATCCAATTCCCTAGATCAAGAGCCCCTCACCAGCGTCAAGGAGCCTTCCTTGAGGGGTTGAGTCCTGGAAATGGGAAGTACAATGCCTGCACTTTAAAGGAGGGGTTTGGGATATTGGCAGTTTGGAGGGATATGTTGTGTATCTTTATATGTATATGCTTCTAAACTGTTGTATTCTGAGCACCTCTGCAACAGCAGTGATAATGTGTGAGTGTGGTGAAAGTGTTGAATGATGATGAAAGTATTTTCTTTTTGGGGATTTTCTTTCTTTTTTTGGGTCACCCTACTTCGGTGGGATTATTATTATTATTATTATAATCAAGGGGAAGCGCTAAACCCGGAGGATTATACAGCGCCTGGGGGGGGGGGGATGTGGAAGGCATTCAGGCTTAATTCGGGGAACTGGAGCACAGATCCAATTCCCTAAATCAAGAGCCCCTCACCAACATCAAGGAACCTTCCTTGAGGGGACCTCGGTGGGAGACGGCCGACTTGTTGAAAAAAAAAAATATATATATATATATATCCTATTCTTTTTTTTTTCTTTTAACACACCGGCCGTATCAACTGTGTGTAGGTGTTAGGCTAGTTATTTTTGTCACTAGTTCAATATAAAAAAATTAAGAATGAAAATATACCCTTCATTATTATTATTATAATCAAAAAGAAGCGCTAAGGCACAGGGGCTATACAGCGCTGCAGGGTAGGGAAGGAAGCGAGGGTATTGGATGGCAGAAGGGAGGAGGGATGATCAGTAGGTTACAGAAAACAGCGGGGCAGAATATACCCTTCAATTAGACTTGTGACTGGCAGTATGGTATCAGTTTCATGCTTAACTCTACATAACCATTAATGTACTTTGTATACCTGGAGTTTACCTGGAGAGAGTTCCGGGGGTCAACGCCCCCGCGGCCTGGTCTGTGACCAGGCCTCCTGGTGGATCAGAGCCTGATCAACCAGGCTGTTGCTGCTGGCTGCACGCAAACCAACGTACGAGCCACAGCCCGGCTGATCAGGAACCGACTTTAGGTGCTTGTCCAGTGCCAGCTTGAAGACTGCCAGGGGTCTATTGGTAATCCCCCTTATGTATGCTGGGAGGCAGTTGAACAGTCTCGGGCCCCTGACACTTATTGTATGGTCTCTTAACGTGCTAGTGACACCCCTGCTTTTCATTGGGGGGATGTTGCATCGTCTGCCAAGTCTTTTGCTTTTGTAGTGAGTGATTTTCGTGTGCAAGTTCGGTACTAGTCCCTCTAGGATTTTCCAGGTGTATATAATCATGTATCTCTCCCGCCTGCGTTCCAGGGAATACAGGTTCAGGAACCTCAAGCGCTCCCAGTAATTGAGGTGTTTTATCTCCGTTATGCGCGCCGTGAAGGTTCTCTGTACATTTTCTAGGTCAGCAATTTCACCTGCCTTGAAAGGTGCTTTTAGTGTGTAGCAATAAGTAAATCTCAAATTCTAATTATTTATTCTTTATGATAAAAAGATAAATTAATATTCAGTAATGACATAGATCATTCTTTCAACACACCAGTCATATCCCACTGAGGTGGGGTGGCCCAAAAGGACAAACGAAAGTTTCTCCTTTTAAATTTAGTAATATACACAGGAGAAGGGGTTACTAGCCCATTGCTCCCGGCATTTTAGTCGCCTCTTACGACACGCATGGCTTACAGAGAAAGAATTCTGTTCCACTTCCCCATGGAAATGACATAAATATGAGATATAAAAAATTAACTTCACTGAGACTGATAATCTTTTTATTTTTAGTACATACTATTTTACCCCTCTGATAAAATGCACTATGTATCACTAAATGATATGCAATAAATTATTTAACAATCAAGTTATACATTTTTCTTTTAAACACACTGGCCATCTCCCACCAAGGTTCGGTGATTCCAAAAAAAGAAGAAACATTTTCACTGTGGCTCACTCTATCACTGTCTTGCCAGAGGCATGCTGACATTACAGTTCAGATACTCTCCTCCAACCTGCAATATCCCCACCCCTCCTTCACAGTGCAGGCACTGTACTTCCTACCTCCAGGGCTTAAGTCCAGCTAACTAGTTTCCCTGAATCCTTTCATAAGCGTTACCTTGCCAATACTCCAACAGTGTGTCAATTCTTAAAAACCACTTGTCTCCACTCATTCCTATCTGAAACACTCGTACATGCCTGTTGGATGTCCAAGCCCCTCGCACAGAAACCCCTTTTATCCCCTCCTATCCCTGCAAACTCAAATATTTTAAGTATAGTACTGTGGACCCCCAGTTTTCGGCCAGTGCGGAAATCATACAATATGGATTTTGAGCACTTTTTTCGGCGAAATTTTCCCTGGGTTTTGTACATCCCCTCAGAAATCGTTGGTACCAGACACGTGCACCTGGGCCGCTCATACGTTTGTGACTCACTCTTGGGCACATTAAATGTCTTATTTTAGGTTAATATAGACATTTTCATTAATCCATCTATGATATCTTCTTCAAAATTATGTAAGAAATATGTTAAATAGCATATAAATATGCCTTTGTTATTCATTCACTCAGACTGTCCCTCAAGTCTTAACACAATAGTAATACTAATTGTACGTAATAATAATCACTCTTGAGCACATTAAATGTCTTATTTTACGTTAATATAGATATTTTCATTAACCCATCTATGACATTTTCTTCAAAATTATGTAAGAAACACATTACATAGCATATAAACATGCAATGTTTACATGCGGTGGAGGGTAAACATAATGTTTTCTCTGGTCCAGCGTTAGAGAAAACTATGAATCTGCATTGACATCTAAAGGTAGTTGTTAGAAATGATTAAACTCAGTGAACATGGTATGTCGATGGTAATAATATGGCTGTAGGCCACAGTGTATGTAGACGGTAGGTATACACTGGGATTTAGTCCGCCTTGGACTACAAATATATACTACTCACCAACAAGAGTCTTCAATAAACTTATGTAATGTTCATTTATCATTAAAATTAGTCATTTACATTTATTTCTTATTGTTTTCTGTATTTAAAACTATAGTTATTCTCTATAAAATGTATTTTTCTGTTAATATTTTTGGGTGTCTGAAATGGATTAATTGGATTTACATTATTTCTTATGGGAAATATTACTTCGGTGTTTGGCCATTTTGGATTTCGGCCAACCTTCAGGAACGGATTAATTACGAAAACCAGGGGTCTACTCCTAAATCCTCAATATAACGGACTTGTGAAATAACACAAAATCCACTGGGTAAATTGTGCTTCTCTCATTTACATTCAATGTTTACTGCAACATATCTGTAAATTGGTGGCCATGTTGGATGGCAGCTTGGTCTTGTCTAGCTGGCTACTGTTCGTGGCTGTCTTGGTGGGTGTAATTACAGGATGCAGTTTTTTATTTCAGGTCACTTTTTCTATTGTATCTTTATATATGTTTCTAAACTGTTGTATCTGGGCACCTCTGTAAAAACAGTGATTATGTATGAGTGAGGTGAAAGTGTTGAATGATGATGAAAGTATTTTTGTTTTGGGGATTTTCTTTCTTTTTGGGTCACCCTGCCTAGGTGGGAGATGGCCGACTTGTTGAAAAAAAAAATCTGTAAATTGTGTATACAGTGCTATACCAGTTATTTGGTAGAGTATTTCAATTCTTTTCTGGGATTTTTAAGATTATTCTGATTTAGTGGAGACTGGGAAAATCCCCCTTATTATTCCATCATATAGAGGATGGACTGTAAATGCAAGCATGCCACACCAGTATGAGCAAGAAGCCCACCATACACATCTACAGTATATTACACAAGTGTTTTACACTTAAATCATTGCTGCAAACATTGCTTACACAAAGCAGTCAGAAGAATGCTACATGTCCTAGGATAAAAGTACATATATACAGTACTATGTGAAACAAAACATTAAATAACCAAAAAATGTACAAGCTTTTGGTACAATGCAGGACAACAACATCCTTGTATACAGTACTTTATTAATATTTATGCATTCACACTCCACATTTAGCTGTTTCTTAAGTCCACATCATTGCAAGTGTTTGAAAACACTGCTGCACCTTTAGCCTGATCGGGCCATTTGCCTGCAATAACAGTTTCATGCTGCTGATCCACCACCGCCACCACTACTGCCTTGTTGTTCAACTGGAATAAAAAAAATAAAAGTTAACTAAGTGTAATAGTACAGTATCAAATCAGTTCAGGATGACAATTATTGTATATACAAGTCAAATAAAAAGTAGTTAATAAGAGCAAGTATTGATTGCTTATTAAATTTTTCATTTGCACTGCATTTACAGTACATAGATTTACCTTATAAATTATAATTATACAATTTCACAAACTATGCAGTTAGTTTACCAACTTTGTATATAGCCTAGTTATTATTATTATTTTTATTATTATTAATATTAGATTTTAACACACTGACCGTCTCCCACCGAGGCAGGGTGACCTGAAAAAGAAGAAATGAAAGTTTTTCCTCCTTGTACATTTAGTAATTTATACAGGAGGAGTTACTAGTCCCTTACTCCTGGTGTTTTAGTCGCCTCTTATGACATGCATGGCTTAAGGAGGAAGGATTCTTCTCCACTTCCCTGTCATCAGTATATGAACCTCGTCTTATTATAATTTTAGCAGCTATACCTTGCCACTTATTGCTATTCTGCCTACCTTACAAAGCTCAACAATAAATTTCCATTTTCCAGTCTATGAACCATATTTTTATGGAAAAAAATATTAGAAGTCATACTATAGCAATGAATTATTTTTGATAAATAACTGCTCAGATAAAAAGTAATCCCACCTTTGTAAGCATATTCTAAAGCTGTAGCAATAGTCTGCATGTCTGACTCAATTGTTGTGGCCCAGTTCTGAACATGGCCAACCTCCTTCATAGAGTCTGTGAATGATGAAATAAGACTCAACCATTGTGATGTCTGTCTCTGAAAATTTGTAGCATTTTGCTCAAGCTGACTTGCTTCACTGTCTAGTCGTTTTTGATTAAGGTATGCCTGGGCCACCCTGCAAGTACATCATATGGATGTCAGACAAAAAAGAAACACAATACAGATTACTGACATGAATAAATAAATACAAAATCGTGGAGTGAATCCATTACCTTTGGTCTAATTTGCTACTGCTGGAAAGCCCTGAACATCATGTATGCTATGTGCCTAATTTCTGAAACTTTATTTGGGATATGAATGGTAATTAATTACCAGTTAAAAGAGTGGCAACTGCAGTCCTTTAGAATATTCTGTTTACATGCAACAGTTTATAGCGTGTAGGAAATGTAAAAATTAGCCTATATTTAAAATTTACATCAAGCAACCATTATCATTCATAACTGATACAGGAGTATTGTAATATATTCTCAAAATACCACATTTTTTAATGTACAGTGGTCTCTTGAGTTAAAAACAATTTTGAGTTACAATTTGCCATCATAAAGGAATTTAGTTTTGAGCTGTGATGAAAAATTTGAGATATGATATGCATTTGTGATTTAATTATGTCATCTTTTGCATTATCAAGTCATCATGGCCCTAAAGTGCACAGTAAAAAGGCAATCTCTGAAGATCAAACAAGAAATTGTGAAAAACATGGTGTAGGAGTTAGAATCAGTGCATTAGTGCACGACTATGGCTTTCCACAATGATCTACTATTATCAAGCAAAAAATACATTATAAAATATACTAAAGTGGCTAATGAATCTAAGTCAGGTGTTTGAAATTTCTTTCAATTTTAAATGACATCTACTTCACAATTTCTAAGTAAACAAGTAACCATAAAATACACACCATCAATTTAAGAGAAAAAACTACCTCTTTGAGCCTTGAGGAAAGCAAGTACCAGAGCTCATAAACTTACCCAACATTGAGATGATCAACAAGAGCATGTGTGAGGTTACTGCTTGCTAAGATGGCTTCTTTGCGTCGTCGTTCTATGGGGAAAAAAAAATGAGCGAGTTAGATACTGCCATGTCTTATGCACATATTTTTAATGTATTTATCTACTGCTCATTGTATAGGCAGGCCCTGCTTTACAGTGCTTCACTTTACAGCATTTCACTAATATAGCAGTTTTCAATTACATTTCTTCATTTATACAGACTACCTACAATAAATATACAGAAAAATATTTTAAGGCAAGTAATGTGTGTACTGTATGTATATGCATATACTGCTATACTGCTCACTTAATATATGAGTGTAAACCTGTTATTAGGCTTTTATATGAATTTGAAAGTGAAGAAAAGACTATAATTCATTATACAGTGATTTTCACTTTACAGCATTAGCACAGAACCTAACCTGCTGTATAAGCAGGGCTCTCCTGTATATAATGTAAAGGAAAAAATTCACTATCTTTTGCAATCTAGTTATACTTTATTTCCAGAAACATACACACATAAAAAGCCAATGTCAAGTCGCCTCTCCATTACATGTTCAAGGGTATAGAACAGGCACTTTATTCCTCATCTTCCTTCATCTTCATATAAAGTATGCTATTTCACCTTGCTTGCATTCAAACAGCAACCTGCTCACATTCACCTGCTAATGTCCAAATTGCAAAATTTCAACAACTTTTTCATACCAATGTCCACAATACATCTTCCAATCTTTGAATTACCTTTCATACCATCACACAGTCAAGAAATTTCTTCATACTCCACAAATATACCACACACTTATCTAAGACAAGCTACTTGCACTGCTTCCTACCCACTCCTTGCTGTAACATTCAAGTGCCTTGACTCACAAAATCATAATAACACAATTGCGAACAAATCACAGAATGGGTGAGACTCAAACCCATGGCAGGAGAATCCTAAAACTCCAAGGCCTGTATGCAAACCACTAGGCCAGCTGGCTCTAAAAGGATTCATCCAATTATACTTACATCAATGGCACCTTGCCATGGGTTTAAGCCCCCATTCTGTGACTCAAGCACTTAATTTCACATCTCTTCAAAATAAGGGAAACCGATGATCAGTACCTGATCCCTATCCATTTTTGCATCACATACATCATGACTCAAGAAATTGTAATGAAATGACTGCAAACATTCCTATGGTGTACAGAAATATACCCAGTTGGATGAAGCATTTCAGGCCAGCATGGGCCTGAAAGCTTTTGGACTCACCTGCCATGGGTTTGAGCTTCACCTGTTCTGTGATTTGTCTGCAGTCACATTATTACAATTTTTTGTATCATGATAGCAGCTTTGAGAGGACTTGAGCTGGAGCACACCACAGCCATACTGGTGTGGGATTCATCTGTAAAAACCTGTATTTGCAGTCACAGTGGGACCCATACCAACATTTTTATGGTCAATAGAAATAAACCTAGTTGGATGAATTTTGTGAGACTGGTATGGACCAGTGTTTAGCACACTGGCCTGTGGGTTTTAGGACTCGCCTGCCATGGGTTTGAACCCCACCTGTTCTGATTTCATCTACTGACAATCTTCTTTCTTTCCACGAACATCACAGCACCAATACAGTTTTTCCTTTTCTATTTTGAATAACTTGGTCCTTCATAGAAACATACAATCCATTAATCCACATTTCATTATTTAATGTAATATTGAAATATTATTATATTCATGGGGAAGTGCTAAACCCACAAGGGTCATACAGTGCCTGAGGAATAGAAGTAATAAAGTTCGATTAAAGAAGAGAAGGGTGGCTCCTATTCCTTAGATCAAAAGGCCTTCACCAGCATCAAGGCACTCCCTTAAATGGAGATGCTATCACAGCCCAAACACACAAAGTACTCACCCAAGGCAGACAATGGCAGCCAACAATATTACCATCAATGACCCCATGCTAGAACTATTACATATTTTTGCAACAAGAGTCAGAGGTTCACAAAGCATTGTGTCAGTCCCCTCAAATTTTATTCGTGGTTACACCAGCATACAGCTTCAACATATTAAGAGATGAGTAAAGCAATGCTTGGAGCAGCTGCAGAGATCCTTATAATTGAAATTACAAAAGTTCCTCGGTGTAACTGCACCGAGTCTATTTTTTTTTTTTCAAACAAGTCGGCTGTCTCCCACTGAAGCAAGGTGACCCAAAAAGAAAATACTTTCATCATCATTCAACACTTTCACCTCACTCATTCATAATCACTGTCTTTGCAGAGGCACCCAGATACAACCATTTAGAAGCATATACTGTATAAAGATATACATATAACATATCCCTATAAACTGCCAATATCCCAAATCCCCTCCCATTTCCAGTACTCATGTCCGACTATATAAAAATAACCGGTTTCCATGAATCCTGTCACTAAATATTGCCCTGCTCACACTCCAACAGCTCATCATGTCCCAAATACCATTTGTCTCCATTCACTCCTATCTAACACGCTCATGCACGCTTGCTGGAAGTCCAAGCCCCTCGCCCCCAAAACCTCCTTTACCCCCTCCCTCCAACCTTTTCGAGGCCACCCCCTCCCCCGACTTCCTTCCCCTACAGATTTATACGCTCTCCATTTCATTCTACTTTGATCCATTCTCTCTAAATGACCAAACCACCTCAACAATCCCTCTTCAGCCCTTTGACTAATACATATGTACTTTTATTAACTCCACACCTCCTAATTTCCACACTCAGAATTCTCTGCATAATATTTACACCACACATTGCCCTTAGACAGGACATCTCCACCGCCTCCAACCGCCTCCTCGATGCAGCATTTACAACCCAAGCTTCACACCCATATAAGAGTGTTGGTACCACTATACAGTGGTCCCTCGTTTTTCGTAATTAATCCGTTCCTGGAGCCATTACTATAAACGAAATTTACGATTTGCGAATCAATTTTCCCCATAAGAAATAATGTAAATACAATTAATCCGTTCCTGACACCCAGAAGTATTAAAACAAAAAAAATTTTTACATGAAATATACATATAGTACATAAACAATACAATGGGAAATGATGAATGAAACATTAACAGCATAACACTTACCTTTATTGGAGATTCTTCTTAGTGTATGGGAGACTGGAGGAGGAGAGAGATTGAATTGTTTACAGTTTGGAAGGGGAATCCCCTTCCAGCAACACCTCAGGTACCAATTGCTTCTCTGGGGTTGCTTCTCTTCTCTGTTTCTTAATGCTACTAGGACCACCTTGAGAGTCACTCTAGTCCTGTCTCGCAAAGTAACTGTGGAGAGAGCTCTGTTTCTGGCGTCTCTTTAACACTTCCCGAAAATGGCCCAAGACTTTGTCACTGTACATATTTCTCACCTTCTTTACCACAGGCTTGGCACTAGAAGCTTTCTTTGGAGCCATGTTAGCTCATTTAGTAATTGCAAGCACTAAAATGAGTGGAATATTATGAAATATTTCGTAGGAGCACTTGAGGGGACCTTCACTCACTGGTAAACAATGCCAGACTGGCTGGGTAGGGACGCCGCCCCAGCTCACACCATGCGTATGCGTCCCAGATGAACTACTATTCACGAGTCAACCTATGAAAAGCGAGTCCATGTTTATACGAAAATACCCCTATGATTGGCGAAATTTACGATTGCCGAGAACTACGAAAAGCGAGGGACCACTGTACTTCCATACATTCCCTTCTTTGCCTCCATAGATAACGATTTTTGTCTCCACATATACCTCAATGCACCACTCACCTTTTTTCCTTCATCAATTCTATGGTTAACCTCATCCTTCATAAATCCATCTGCAGACATGTCAACTCCCAAATATCTGAAAACATTCACTTCTTCCATACTATTTCTCTCCAATTTGATATTCAATTTTTCTTTATTTAAATCATTGGATACCATCATCACCTTACTCTTTTTCTACGTTCACTTTCAACTTTCTACCTGTACACACTCTCCCAAACTCGTCCACTAACTTTTGCAACTTTTCTTTAGAATCTCCCATAAGCACAGTATCATCAGCAAAAAGTAACTGTGTCAACTCCCATTTTGTATCTGATGCCCATAATTGAATCCCACCCCTCTCCCCAACACTCTAGCATTTACTTTTTACAACCCCATCTGTAAATATATTAAACAACCATGGTGACATTACACATTCCTGTCTAAGACCTATTTTTACCGGGAAGTAATCTCCCTCTCTTCTACACACCCTAACCTGAGCCTCACTATCCTCATAAAAACTCTTTACAGCATTTAGTAACTTACTACCTATTCCATATACTTGCAACATCTGCCACATTGCTCCCCTATCCACTCTATCACATGCCTTCTCTAAATCCATAAATGCAATGAAAACTTCCCTACCTCTGTCTAAATACTGTTCACATACATTTATATGCTTCAATGTAAACACTTGATCTACACATCCCCTACCTACTCTAAAGCCTCCTTGCTCATCTGCAATCCTACTCTCTGTCTTACCTCTAATTCTTTCAATAATAACCCTATCGTACACTTTTCCTGGTATACTCAGTAAACTTATTCCCCTGTAATTTTTACAATCTCTTTTGTCCCCCTTCCCTTCATATAAAGGAACTATACATGCTCTCTGCCAATCCCTAGGTACCTTACTCTCTTTCATACATTTATTAAACAAAAATACCAACCACTCCAACACTATATCTCCCCCTGCTTTTAACATTTCTGTCATTATCCCGTCAGCTCCAGGTGCTTTACCCCCTTTCATTCTTCGTAATGCCTCACGCACCTCCCCCACACTCACATCCTGTTCTTCTTCACTCCTAAAAGATGGTATAGCTCCCTGGCAATTGCATGAAATTACCGCCTCCCTTTTATCATCGACATTTAAAAGTTCCTCAAAATATTCCCACCATCTACCCAATACCTCCATCTCCCCATCTACTAACTCCCCTACTCTGTTTTTAACTGACAAATCCATTCGTTCCCTAGGCTTTCTTACCTTATTTATCTCCAAAAATTTTTTCTTATTTTAATCATAATTTCTTGACAGT